TAGGAGAAAGATGACATAACTGTACCTGAGAAGCAAAAAAGAACTGAGGTAACAGGAGGCTCCAGGCCCGTGGCTGGGAAGACACAGTACCATCGATTTGGGGAGACACAAAGATTAACACGACTTTACAGCTGATGGAAAGCCGCCTCTCATCACCACTGTCTAATGGACTAATACTATTCCGCAAACATATTTTCCCTTATGAATGGATGGCGATGCGTGGGCTCAGAATTCATTTGCTAAGTCACAGCAGCACCATTCACAACTGAGCTCACGCCTGATCTCAAGTGAGACAGAGCTGAAATGAGTATTTGCTGAATGGGTTTTGGAACAAACTCAGGCAGGAAAACTTGGTATTGTGCAGTGAACAGCCCATGCTCTCTTTCACTTACTACAATGCACTTATGCAAAACAAGGTCTTCAAATTACATGGCAACGAAAACAATGTGGACTCATTCGGCAAATGACAGAAGGATGTGATCAAGCGATGCTGTTCCTAACATAAGACAACCACGTGATTAACAGGGCATCTTACGAGTTCTCATCTTAGAAGCTGTTCTGTCCTTTTGATAGGGTCTTAAATAAGCAAAATAAAAGGTAGAGATGGTTTCATCTGTTGTTTTTAGTAAAGATTTTCTAATTTGTTTCTTTATGTAGTCTAATGAAGGATAATTTCTTATCTTTAGGAGAGCTGACCTATCTACAAGGTGGCCCACTGACATGGACTTCAAGCTCAGGGTTCTGCTGGCAGTCTGTCCGCACAGGGCACCTGCAGGAGGACGCTCTTTGGCAGCATCAGTGGTACATATTCACTGTGCAATTCACAGTTCCTCTCAACACCGCGCAAACACAAGACAAAAAACATGCACAGCCTCCAGCTTCAAGATTCTATGCATCAAACCGCCTTGGTTTTCTTAGTGATAGAGTAAAATGTTATGGTTAAAGTTGCTTATGTCAATAATGGATTGTTTTAATCTGTTTTACATACTGGGTATTTCGTTTTATTAAAAAAATAAGCCTCATTTTAAACAAATCATCAAATTAAGAGTAAAGCCATCAGCAAAGGCAAGTTCAGAAACGATCACGAAGCCTCTGGCGCGATCCCTCAACAACGTCAGGGGGACCAACTCACACATGAACACCCACTTTCACCACAGCACCGTGCTACAACTCACACATGACCACCCACTTTCACCAGAGCACCGTGCTACAACTCACACATGAACACCCACTTTCACCAGAGCACCGTGCTACAACTCACACATGAACACCCACTTTCACCAGAGCACCGTGCTACAACTCACACATGAACACCCACTTTCACCAGAGCAACCAACATGCTACAACTCACACATGAACACCCACTTTCACCAGAGCAACATGCTACAGACGGGAAGATTTTCCTCCCCAGGATGGTGTTCTTATCGGTGAAATCATCTAGAGGCAAAAGCTATGACAATTTATCTTACACAGAACATTCATATCTGTAAGTGGGCTAAAATTCCTACATTATCCGTCAGCTGTGTGGAATATTACTTATTTGCCACATTTGTTCTGATATCAGCATGGGCATAATCCTGAGTAGCTCAAACATCTGAACTCCATGAAATCCAGTGACTATCAACACCTCTGCAAAACACACACACCCAGGCATAAAATAGCAACACCTATTGGCCAGCTACTATGGTCAACATTATACTCGAATTATATAATTCTTACAAATCTATTGGAGAGAGAATAGGACTGTGCCCTTTTACAACAAAACACTGGAGTCAAAAGCTATGAAGTGAAACTCAACCCTTGGTCTACCTGGCTACAGAGCCGGTGTCTATCTTGCCATGCAACTGCACCATGAGACAGGCCATCGCGGCCAGCGGCACACAGGTCCAGGAACATGGAGCGACTCGTTACACCGACTGCCTAAGTGTGTGCTGACGACGCTCATCTACTGAACAGAGAGGCAGCGGCTGGCAGGCACCCTGAACCCTTCCACTGCTTTAGTCCATAGCAAGACCAGGGTCAGTAACAGAGGTTTCAAGGGCCTCTAACCTCAAGAGGTACATTTCTTTAATTATTAATTATACTCAAAGTATTTTAAATTATTGTTCTGCCATAATTTCCACACATTTATAAAAACATTCCATATAGAAGCAGCTTTGATCCCAACACGTTTTTACATGATTGATTGTTTAATAATGGCTGGTTAACCTACACACACAAAAATGTTGATGAAGTAAAAGCCCTGATGCGGGGTGTGTTCCACTGACGGGCCGTCAGGAGAGTGCAGGCCTCGCCAGAGGCATCCTCTGCCAGCCTGAAACGTCTGTGAAGTCACAGAGTTCATGCAAAGATGCATCTGAAAGGTTGCCCCGACTTCTCAGTATATTTGCTTCAAGTGAAAGCAATGTGGTTCCTTATTGCCCCAGACCTCAGAATGAAAGCAGAGCCCAAGGAAGATCTGCTACGTGGAACATGCAACTTTCAGAACATGCACCCTAAAGGAAAGAATGTTTACAAAAAACCTCATACATGTTACCATGTGTTTTGTTCTTATATTGTGTTGCTTACTTTGCTCAGATATTAACCTCAACAACTCAAAACTCATGGTTTTCTCTTCTGAATACCACAATAGGATATCACTGTATCGGAAAAATGAAAGGTATTATTTTCTACAATGTTTATATCCATTTTAGAGTAGATCGTCGTGTCAGCACTATTGCACTACTGTCTCAATTCTGTTCAGACACTGTACCTTAACATTAAAGTTTTAATACAATTATCTTAATGATTACAAATGCGACTGCATGAGGATTTCTAAGATGCCCCATTTGACAAGGACCCAAGAAAAGAAGACTCTGATTTTGGTGTGCTGCTTCTAAGCAGGTGGGACTCTTACCCTGGAGTCGCTGTCCAGCAGGCAGCGGGAGGTGATGGTGTCTAGGAAGACCTCGTGAGCTGCGATGATGTGGTCCAGGTCCTGGGCCTGCTGCACTTTGTTCCAAAGCTCATCCCAGGAGCACTCGAGCACCTGGGAAACAGCAGTTAGAAGACGCTAAATAAGCTCATGTTCTTTTTAAAATCCATACCACAAATGGGGGGCTGAGGTGGGCAGATCACCTGCACTTGGGAGTTCAAAACCAGCCTGGCCAAGATGGCAAAATCCCATCTCTACTAAAAAGACAAAAATGAGCCGCGCATGGTGGCAGCCACCTGTAATCCCTGCTACTCAGGAGGCTGAGGCAGGAGGATTGCTTGAACCCCTAGGGTGGAGGTTGCAGTGAGCTGAGATTGCACCACTGCACTCCAGCCTGGGTGACAGAGCAAGACTCCGTCTCGAAAAAATCTATAAATAGACATGTATATATATGGACACACATACATATGCCACGTAAAAGCATAAAACATGACTGACTTATTTAGACTAAAATCAATAGAGTGACTGCAGGTACCTCAAATGTGATGTAATACTGCATCTGGTGAATGAAATGGACCATCTCAGAGGCCAGGATGTGACACTGGTGCAGCACCCCGGAGAACTCTGCAAGGGAAGAGCCGGCATCAGGGGCAGTGCACACTTCCGACAGCATGCTGTTCTCCCTCCAAACAAAATCCGTCGTTTACATTCCTGACCCCTTACCTGGAAACATCCTCTCCATGACCAACTTCTGTGCTGTTCAGGCTGAATGAGAACAGCTATCTCACCGAGTAGTACCACACCAGTTTAAAACACGTAAAACATGCTGTGTAGAAGCTTTGTATCCGTTTTCATATTTAATTTTTACATACAATTATATTTTGCTTAACAAAATATAATTTAATTTTTTATAAGGCTTAGAATTCTAGAGTTTTGCTTCACTAAATATAATTGTATGTAAAAATTAAATACAAACATTTATTTTATACTAATGCAGTGCACTGAATAAACAGGAGCTCTACTTCGCGGCTTTACAATTAGTTTGCCCGCTGTGCATGAAAACAGTTACTCTTCCCTGGCTCTCTGGAGATAAAGGTGGCATTTCTTTAAGGAGCCGACCGTGGCCTTGCCGCCTGCCCGCGAGAAGGAAGAGCTCGGGGGAGGTCAGGAATGAGCTCAGACTCTCCTTTTATCCTTTAGGAGATCACACAACCATCACCAGGCTGGAAGGTCACCACAGAGCACACTTCTCTGCTCACACTTTTAATTTTTTGTTCAAAGACTATGGCAACATATTGTTACACTAATGTATGTGATGGCTCAAATCAGAGCTGGACCCATCAGTGGGGTGATCACAAAGAAGCTTTATAACATGGGTCAGCTTGGACATGTTCTGTGACTGCTTCAAATACCCTCCTGAGTTACCTTGATAACGAGATCGAGACTTGCTATGTGTGCAGTTATGCAAGACGTCAGTCTCGCCTCTTAAGACAGTAACAAAGAAGTGGAATTTAAGCCTCTTAATAGAGGTGTGTGAAAATAATAGTGGCAATGGGTCCGTTTTTAACATACTCTTTCTGTAAGTTAAAGATTCACTGACACCTTGCAGTTTTGCTGTCTTGGTTTAACACACAACAGCTTGGTCAGTAGAGAAAAGTGGGAGAGGAAGAGACAAAATTCTAAGCTTTATAAAAATTTAAATTCTTAAACAGATGATCAACTTATACGAGCATGAAATATGTATGTGAACTGTCTGAACACTGTCTGAAGGCACAGATTCCACTAACAGGCAGCGTTGCTGTCCGACCCCGGCGCCGGGAAAGGGAGGAGGACGCAGCTCAGAGAAGGACCCTCCTCACGTCCCCGGCCCCTGGGCCTCGGGCAGGGGCTAGAATTCTCAACACACAGGCTCAGGTGAGGAAAGGGTTCCCACCAGGAGAGTCAGAGAGCTGTGAAGCAAACAAGGGTACACATTATATACCAGCACTTACCTAGGTGAAATATGTGGCAGCCAATAACAAAAGATATTTTAAAAAATAAATTTCAAAGGCAAAAAAGACCTTGCTTTCAAGGAGACAGAAGAATTTTTAGTTAGGGATAACTGACAGCAGACTTAGACCATGCCCACCTTTCAGATGGAGCAAGTTGATTTTCTCAAGAGTGGAACGACACACTCTCTCTCAGGAAACGAACAGGCGGGAGGTGGCATTCTACCCGACAAGGAGCTCCGCAGGGCCTCGTCCACATCCACGCACCACCCAGTGCCTCACAAGGGAACAGCCCACTCAAGGGCTCTGGCACCTCCCACGCCAATGGCTATAGTTGATGTGTCAGAGGCATGTCCAAGATTTACTCACAAAGTTTAGAGCTCTGCCAAGAATGCTCAGCGCTCCTTCCATGGCCCCGCAGACAATTAAACACGAACTATCGTGTCCACAGCCATGAGATGCAGTCTCAGCTAAGACCCTCAGAAGAGACCCAGCGGCCCTCAGGCCCAGGACACCTCGGAGCATCTGTACTCATGAGGCATCCTGCCACACGGCTGCTCCACACACCCCAAGTATCTTTCTTGCCATTAGGAACCTACAACCCACAGATATGGTCAATGTGCCTGCTAAGAATGGGCAAAGCTTTGAGTTCATCTGAAATCCTAGAATTATGAGTGCACTTCTCCCTGCTAAAACTATAAATAGAGTTTATGATTTCCAATCGAATAACACTCAAAACCTCTCAAACTACAATTACTTGTCAATGTAAAAGGGCATGATAAACGTTTCAGCCATGTTATGTTTTCAGTAAGCTTCTAAGAAAAATAACTACCACTTGCACTCAATTTTAGGTTTTAACACAGAGCACAAATGAGAGGACCGTGTCTTCCCTCACTGAAGTCACTGGACTATGATGGAAACTCTACAGCCAGTCTTCCCTGGAAAACTGAGTATTTAAAACATTCTACAAGTGCACAGAGCATACATATATTTGTTCTCAAGATATTTCTCGAATGTGATTTGATTTCTTTCCGGTGCAGCAAAGTTACATGAACCACCTGTGGAAGGTTTTTGTATTTTTATGTGAGTATTATCACAGACCTCTGGTGGATCTTTTCATTGGGAAACAAAGCGACGAATGTCTGCACGTCACACGGCACGACCCACAGGTCTCACCATGACATCCGATGTCTCCATCGACCCTTCCCCAGGTACATGCTCAGTGTGATCCTAAAATGCACTGCTGCGCACTTAGGCACAGCGAGCACAATCTGTTTTATTTTCTAGCATTTTCAAGCAACTACGCAGGTTATACTTATCAATCCTGACATCTTTCAGAGAAGGTTTAACCTCACAGAGTTGTAGATTTCATCTAAAAATGAAAAGTGAAACTTCACCTAAAAGTTCACCTTTACCTAAAAATGCGAAGCAGGCTACTGTCGGCACTTTCTCTGGGGGACCCTAGCTTTGTTACAGAAGCATAAAAACTGTTTGTGGCTCTCCTCCATTTTCTAGCTCCTGCTGTGTCCCGTGAAAGCTCAGGTCTGTGCTGCTCTCCTCTTTCTGAGGCTTCCTCCGGCGTTCTTTACAGGGGTCAGTCAAGCCACCAGCATCTGAGTAACACACCGGTTTTTAGTAGCGCGCATATGCTTTTGCTAATGTCTTCTACATTTCACTGTTATGCTCCTATTTATGAAACCAGGAATTTTTCTCTGGCTTCAAATCAGTCTGAAAGTAGATACACAGTGATCAGTGATTAAATCACTAATTCTATTTCATAATTTCTGATTTTCTTGAGTGTACGATTTCTCTGATTACTGTTCTAGATTCTTTAATGTCACATTTGGAAATGAAAATCCAAATGAATGGCCACAAAACAAACGAAAAACACACAAAACAACACTGTGACGCAACACTCCGTGCCGTCTGCGAAACAACACTGTGACGCAATGCTCAGTGCCAGCCTCAACTGCTGACGTCCCACTCCAGCCCGCCCCAGTGCTGCCTGGGCCCTCCCCTCTCCCGCACTCCCAGCCTGGGCGGCCTGCAGTCCCGGCTCCACTGGGTTTGCACTGTTTCGCTGTCTTGGCATCAGCTCTGCCTGCCTCCCTCACGCCCCTAATCACTCCAAACCCGCCTCTTTCTCGCGGTGCGCCCTCGCCCTCGAAGGCTAACTCATACCCCCTTGCTCTGAATCCACCTCTTCCTCCTCTTTGATTTTCATCCTCCATTTCCCTCTCTCTATCAGCATTTCAAACAGCCTCCCAACAAACAAACCATCTAACCTGGTTAGAAGTTTTGACTTTGATCTTGCCCAATTCTTCCGCAGTATATCTTTACATTTTCAGATGCTATATGGCAGCTCAGAAGGATCTGTTGGTTGAAAAGGTATCGTGCACCACGACGGACAGGTCTGCAGCCCCTGCCCCAAGCCCGTCTTCCTCCTAGCCATGCCTCACTGCGACAGTGCGGTTCCCACTCAGTGACGCCACTCCCACATTCCACTCTACAACTTCAAGGATCATACGGGCTAATGACATCTAAAATCTCTACCTCTAGTCTAGATCTGTCTTCAGTTTAAGATCAGTCTAATTAATGGTCTCACAAGGTATCCTAAAAAATACCTCAAATTAATGTATTTGAATGGAATCATCGCCCCAAAGGAGCTCCTCCTCCAGTGCTCCCTGGGTGATAAGAGATGTTACCATCCACCAGATCCTCAAGTCAGAGACCCAGGTGCCACTGAGACTCCAACCGCCTCCTGGCCTCCGTACACACATCACCTGGTCCTGCTGGCACCACAGCCCAAGTCGCTCTCAAATCCATTGCCTTCCGTCCCGCCCTGCGACTGCTCTAACCCTGAAGGCGCACGTCACCTCACATGGATTATTACAACTGGCTGCTCTGCTAACTGCCATGGTCACAGCCCAGGTCCATTTTTCTCAACGACCTGAATCCAGGCCTTCAGGACCCCTCCTGACTGGGAGCCCTAGCCCCTGCTGGCAGCACAGTCCCCCTCCCCACTGACCTGAACGGCACATCCTCACCTGTCAAGAGGCCAGCCTGGACACCACCACCTCTGGAGCCTTCTGCAGACACCCACATCTGTCGGATGCCTCCCTTAAACACTCCTATGCGACCTGGTTTTTCCGTACCAATTGACTGTAAGTTCCTGTGTAAAGTCTGTTCTGCCCCAGTAAGCCATGAGCTGCCTGTCCACAGGGAGCTGGTGTGCCACCTTGTCACTGGGAACCAGCAACAGGGAGCACTACAGAATGCATGACTTAGACACTCGAAGTCAGGGCAGGCAGTCCGCTTTCATCTGGATCTGGAATACTCAAATCCACACCTTTTCAAAAGATTCCTATAAGTAAGGTCAACTTAGCCACGAGGTGAATACAGGTGTTCTTTCCTTTTGCAGTTTTCCTTCTAGAAAAATCACCTGTTACTGTATCTACAGTGAGTACAGAGGACATCTTCAGTGGTCTTCTTCTGAGACAAAGCCCCTTGACAGTGAGAGACCTCTGGCTGCTGCTACTGCAAAGGAATCTAGCAAGATCATCCACATCACAAAAGTCTGAAATCACTACAATACTACGACTATTTTTCTTTCCCAGATGAGAAGTTAAACACTAC